AAGCACGGCCATGCAAGCAGAGCCCCGATGCCAAACAGCGTCAGACCCCAGATAAACGTAGCCTTGTATCCCCAGTGTCGCAAGATCCAATTCGCATGTCCCAGCGACGCAAGCGGATACGCACCAAAGTACGCAGCTTGCAGTCCGGATGAGCGCGACCGCGTAATTCCCAGCGTGGTTTGAAAGTGCTTGTTCAGCGTATCAATCAGACCATATGAGAAGCCCTAGTAAGACCAACTCGTCAATACTTATCATCACCGCGTTATTATTTTTTTGCAGAAAACTCACCCACAGAAAAAACAAAATTGTAACAAGACACAACGGCCCAATACTCTCTCTCAGTGTGAGCTCCGCCGCCCGCGTGCGCTGGTCATCGCGATTCCGTAGTCGGGGGTGTCTAAGGAAGCCCATAGTGTACTGACGTTTACAAGCTTACTCCAGAAGTCCAAAAGTAAACTATATTATCTTTCTACTTTAAACCTCACAATCTCAAAAGAAAGAGAGAGGAGAGAGAGAGGAAAGAAAGGAAGAGAGAAGAAGAAAGAAAGAAGGAGGAAAACCAAAACCCTTCAATCCCCCCCGATCAAAAGAAGTGATAAACGCTGCAGGGTCCCCCGCCTCCCTCTCCTCTCCTCTCATGTAACCACCACCACGCCCGACTCGAACGGCAGAATTATCGGCAAACAATCGAAACAGCTATTCGTCCAGCCACCCCGGCACCCATGCAAGAGCAAACGGAAAAAAAGCATGACCAAGGCCAGAAAATGCCAGGCGCAAAAAAAGCTGGGGTAAAAGTCTGGGGATCGCGGCGCTAATACACACGCTTAGCGCCTTTTTGATGACGTTTTGTGGGGGGGTAGGGGATGCAACTAACGGCCGGTGCTAACATGGGCACACCCCGCCTTCCTCCCCTTGTAGTTTCTCGGTGGAGTAGCGACCGAATGTGGGTGAGGGAGCGGGGAGAATTACTTGCGGTGGGTGGTGGTGGGGGGCGATCAGGTTAGTTTTTGGGACATATGTTGCATGTGGTGTTTCTTTGTGAGGGGGGGTTGGGTTGGGTTGGGTAAAAGCTCCGATGAGGCGGTAAGTTTTGTCAGGGGGGGGAGGGATACGGGGTCACATGATGGGTGTGTGTGTGTGTGTGTAGGATGTGAAGAACACGGGTTTGTACGAGGAGAAGAAGGAGTGTAGGTAGTAAAGTATATATGTGAGTTTTATAAAACGATTTGTACTAGTAGAAAGAGAGTGATCTAATCTTTATTCTTAAAATCCAAACCACTTTCCTTACGCACCGCCCCGTATATACTCGGTATATCACCTTTATCGCCCAACTCGCTCTTTACGACATCCAAGCGTGCCTGCGCAAGCGCAAGCATCTTCATGCTATCCGCCGCGCCGCTACTTTGCGCAATTGCCATAGCGTGGCGCGCGTCTTTTCGTGCGAGATCCACGTGGAACAGCGGTTCCTCGCGCTGGTAGTAGTCGCCGACTAGCATGCGCTGCGAGTAGGCTGTGTAGGGGCCAGGGAACAAGGCAGAGATGAATGTATGCAGGTTATCGACACCCAGGCCGGACTTCTCAGCTAGAACGTGGCCTTCGGAGAGCTGCGAGACCATGTTTAGGATGAAGGTGTTGCCGATCACCTTCAGGAGCGTGGCGTTGCCGGCGGGTTGGGACGAGTAGTCGATTGTCGTGCGGCCCATTACGCCTGTGGTGTAGGGAGTTACCTTGTCACAAGCGGGCTTTTTGCCCGCTACGACGCAGATTAGCTGGCCGTTTTCTGCCATGGCTGGGGCGCCGAAGACTTTGTGCGCAAACATGATTGTTAGTCTGGATCGTGGTGAAGGGTTGGTCTTGGTACGTTCATGGGGCTTTTACGTACCAGGCATGCCAACGAATTCTCCGCCGTGCTCGTTGATGCGCTGCTCCAGGCCGTTGGTGGTGTCTGGATGTACTGTTGAGCAGTCTATAATGACTTTGCCCTTTACATCTTCTTGCAGTATAGCATCCACGGTAGTGTTGACTGAGGCATCATCGCCAAGACACATGAAGACAATGTCGGCAGTCTTGACGGCATCGCTGACATTGTCGACGACTTTGGTCTTGGAAGTGCCGAGCTTCTGCGAGAGGTCCTCGGCGCGGGCTTTGGTACGGTTGTAGAGAATTAGAGGCTTGTCAAGGTCACCTTTCTCCACGAGGTTCTTGCACCTGGTAGTGGGTGTTTGGTTAGTGTACTTTCAACGACTCAGCAGTCACCATCGCTCCACTGCTCTTGGACATTTAACAGCACAACCTGTGATGGTGCCAAGAATCTTCCACTAAGGACGTAAACTTACATGCCCTGTGCTGATTAGTGACATTGTGAATAAACGTAGTCGGCTAGACTTGCCCTGCCCATGTTGCCGAGGCCAATCCAAGCGAGTTGCGGGGCCATGTTTTCTAGAATACTTCGGAACAGATGTGAGATGTGTTTGCTTTTTTGAAGAAGACGCGGATTCGATACTATTTGAATATCCTCAATGGGTGTTGCACAGTTATCGTGTCGTCGTCATGGTGTTCATGGGCCGTCAATTGCCGGGGTTAGAGCCAACGGGCCGATATCGGTTGCGAGCAAATGACGTGCAACTGCCGTTACTATCAAAGTTTAGGGTGAGCGCAAATATTCACGCATTTCGCGGAGTCATACATTTCGACTTTAAGCCCTCAACCACTTGATACCGTTGGACCTTGGTGTTTAATCAACTGGACGGAGGGATGAAGTATGTTCATCTGGAGGAAAGCCCCCGCGAGGGGCTTGGGGAAGGCTACGCAGAATGTGCGTGTTGAAATTTTGAGCGGGTTTGAACAATTGCGCGCCGTTACTAACAACACAAAGCTTCCCAAATGCGATGACAAGATTAAGGTACTGGCAAAAAGCCAATACGCATACCTCTCGACCTCGACCACCTATATCCGCAAATCCTCGAGCTCTGCGAAAGAGCGCCAACGCGCAGAACGCCAACAGCTCACCCGCCTGCTGAAAGAATCGCCAGGAAAACGCGATGCACGCAACTTTCTCAAGCAATTTGACGCACCCAAGAAGAGCAAGGCTGGTGTTGCCGCGCAAGCAAAACAAAATGTTAGTGCAAACAAAAATCCTGAATTAGGGACATTGCGGACTGGCGTTAATTTGGGCGACTTGTATAAGCCGACCGTCTTTACACGCGAACCACTCCCAGAAGAGCAGTACCAGGCTGGAGAGAAAGATGAGCCAGTACACTTGGCGCTGGTCAAGCTCCGGCAGCCGCAGACACTTGACGACCGCGTACTAGGTGATATAGCATTGACGTTGAGCCAAATGGCTCAACTTGGTTTCAGCGTGGCAGTGGTATTGGATTGCGACGATGACATGGGCCCATTCACCACAAATATCCAGTCCGACTATGTCAACATTGTCCGAGAACAAGCATTACGCATGGTTGCCGCACTGGAGGACTACAACGAACCTGGCGCATTACTCGTTGAGGATGCCCTGGGCTGCACCCCATTAACAAACAACATGCCGAGTACCGTTCAAGTCCGTGGAGAGGTACAGGTACAACACAACTACCTACTCTTTCCGCCCATTGACGAAGGTGTCATCCCTGTGATCACTCCTTTTGCGTACGACACAAATCTGAAGAAAGTCAGAGTTCAGGCAGACGATGTGTTGCTTGCATTGATCCGCGAGTTTTCTGGTATCGCCAGCTTTACCAATGCTAATGACTCGCAAGACGCTACAGAAAAGAAGACAGCAGATACTACTGATAAGCCTGTCTTGGATCGGATCATCATTCTGGACCCCCTGGGAGGTATTCCATCTGAAAAACGTGCAGATGGCGCACATGTCTTTGTCAATCTTGAGGCTGAATACAACGACATCAAGCAGGAACTGCAGCAACTTTCGCTGATGAACGAAACGCATGAAAACAAGACAAACACATCACTTGGCAGTGGTAATCCCTTCTCCAAGTTTGTTGAACAACAGGTGGTAGCATCTCCAGGCACGACGAACAATCAATTGGGCGGTTCAGCTCCTATGCGTCATCTGAAAAACCTCGAAGTCGTTCAACGTGGTCTGAAGCTGCTACCCCCATCCTCATCTGGTCTAATTCTCACCCCATTCGAGGCTGCACGCAAGGCCATACCTGACGATGCACGAACAACACCATCGAAAAACCCTCTACTGCATAATGTCTTGACCGACAAGCCCATGACTTCTTCATCGTTACCAACATCACCCACGTCCAAGTTTCTAGGATCCGCCGCCCCGAACCCAGCTACATTCTTCAAAAAAGGCATTCCACTTACCATGATACCCGACCCGCGGACTCATGGGCCCTGGCAGCCACCTTCCGCCGCAAACCCGAGTATTGACCTGGCAAACGACCCGCGCATCAACTTTCCCAAGCTCGTGGATCTCATTGACGATTCTTTCCGAAGAAAACTTCACCCCCAGAACTACCTCGACCGCATCCGTGGTCGCGTCGCCGGCATCATTATAGCGGGTGACTATGAAGGCGGTGCAATCTGTACATGGGAGACGCCCAGATCCCTCCAGGGACTCGATCTACCTCCGTCATCTTCCCACGACTCACCATACTGGATCCCCTATCTCGATAAATTTGCTGTCCTGACATCGTCGCAAGGCTCAGGCGGTGTCTCGGATATCGTATGGGCGGCACTTACACGCACCTGCTTTCCCGAGGGGGTAGTGTGGAGGAGCCGGACTAGCAATCCAGTTAACAAGTGGTACCAGGAGAGGAGCAAGGGTATGTGGAATCTACCTGGTGGTCAATGGACTATGTTTTGGACTACCCAGGGTGTAGAGGAGGGATGGACGGCTGAGAAATGGGGTAGTGTGGAGGCGGAAAAGAGGATGCGGATGAGACGGTGGGATGCGTATATTGATGTGTGTAGTGGCATTGAGCCGAGTTGGGCAGATGGTATACAAAGAGCAGATTGAGAGGTAGACATTGAACCTATATCCACCCATTTTTCCGTCCTTTTGTCCAATCCAACTGTCCAAACGCAATGAGGAAGCACCATTCATCCTCTAACTTTCCAACCAAAAACCAAAAAAACCCAGTCAATTTCAATCTCAAAATTGCAGTCCCCTCCCCCCCCCTTTTCCAAATCTCACGCAAAAACCCCCCCATTCACCTCCCCATCAACTCCCTCAACCTCCCCGCCGCAACCCCATCCACAAACTCCACACTCCTACACACCTTAACCTCGTCCCCCTCCCTCTCAAACCCCAACACCCACAAAACATCATTCTCCACCACATGCCCCTCGCCCCCACCCTTGACCTTCATAAAATAACTAACCCTTACAACCCCCCTCATCTGCACCTCATCAACCAACACATCGGCAACCCTCAGCTCCCACGATTCCATCCGCGGCACCATGGCGCCTAGGTGCGCGGCGAAGGCGGAGAAGGAAAAGGTGCCTTGGAGGGGTGGCGCGGCGGAGACGGCGTGGTGGTGGCCGAAGGTGTGGGTGAAGGAGGGGGTGCAGAGGGAGGACAGGAGGGGGATGTTCATGCGGGTTGAGAGGGAGGGGTTGAAGGATTGGGCGGTGATGAAGGAGAGGGAGGTTGCGTGGAGGGATTTGTAGGTTTGGGAGGCGGTGGTTGGGGGTTGAGGGGGGGATGGCGTGGAAGACATTTTGGGCGGGGGGTTTCGTGGTCTTTTTGATCGTATCTTTTTGTTTAAAAAAAAAGAGTGTTATGTTGTGATCGTTGGCTTTTTTTTTTTAAAAAATAAAATAAAATTCTGTTCTTCGAAATGGATTTAGATATGTAAGAGTTGAAAGTTTTTAGCTTTTTTCTTCTTGGTAGGATTTTTCTTCTTTGAACATCGCACAGAGACGGTTCGTTTAAATATTGGTTCTCTATTGCATAGGCAATGGAACCCCTCCTGTTCATGGCCAGTTCTAAGCCTTCAGTCATCAATTGGGTTGCGGATCCCCGCTTGTTTCCCAGCGGCATAATTAAGGTTGCCGATGCGGGTGCCTAGCTCCCGCGCTCCCGCCGTTGACATCGGACTATTTGTTCAGCTGCAACATCACTTGTAGTTGTTCGAACTGCGATGTTCCTCCTCTCAATTATTAACGAAACATGTCGCATGGGTCGGGTGAGGGTGCGATGTCCTGACAAGGATTTGTGCAGCATTGCCCGACTTTCAAAGGCTAACGGAGTGCGAACGTGTTCTGAAGGTATATGTTGTGTGTGTTATGCAACGAGGTTTGTGCTCGTAGACGCGGAAAATAATTAGAATATTTCCTGTATTCGGAGATAAAGATCTTGAGAGAGGGTGTTGGAGGAAACCTGCGACGAATGGGGGTTTTGGAGTTGGAATGGTGTTGAGACAGGCCAAGGGTCGAATAACCTTGTTCGTGTAAGCAAAGGGGCCTGGTTGACTTCTACACTTACGCTGTTCGGAGCATCTGAGAAATTCCAGATTCTGAGAATGACGATGTAAACGAGGCGGGTACAGATATTGTACTACTGGGCTTTTGCTGCGACCCATTTTCATGCATACTGTCGGCAGATCCATGGACTGCGATGAGTTCGCGGTAAAGCCATACTTCAGTACCAGGTTTCCAGCATATCATCGTCGTGATTCAAACCAATGGAAAGATATCGGTTTTGGCCCAAGGTCGTAACTGATGTCCGTACACATAGTCTAAGCAAAAGCTCGCGGACTAAACTCCGCCCCAACACGTCGGAGCGTGTACTTCCAGTCATCACCACATCGAAGGTTCACTCTGAGACGCCGCTCACGTTGTTCCCATCGAAATTTCATCCTTATTTGTGCAACCGTTCAAAAATACTATATCCATATGATTATATTCGTTTCCTCCATCTCGAGCTTACGATGACTATGAGGGTCGAGAACGATCAGGCGGCGGACAGGATCGGGTAAACAACGCACAGAAGCGATTTTCCAAGACGTTTGGAAGGAACTAGGGGTTGAATCCGAGCAGTGTATAGGATAGAACGTGGAATTCCGATGCGGTTTCTCTGAGACTCGATAACTGGAGTTGCCGAGCGTAGCTAAGGAAAACTGTCAACGTCGTGTTGCCTACACGGTTAGCAAGACTCGTGAAGTCTCTTGTTTACAGGTCTATGACGCTGGATGCAGACAGACGCATACAGCCTAGTCGTCAAAGTATACTATGCAGGTGTACAAAGCAGACACCCCTCGTCGTGTAGAGCGATCACATTTGTTTTTTCGAGATAGAACAGATGGAACAAACAGAATACGAGATGATGCCATGCTTCTTGCCGGAACTTTGCCTGCAAGCGCTCCAAGAGCCACGTGCAGTGGACCCATCGGCGACTTTCACGCCCGTGCGTTTGTGACACCGCCCGCAGGGACACTCATGCAGAGAGATATAGAATGTCACAGCCGCACTTCCCGCGTTTCCCGTTGGTTTCCCAAGTCACTCTCGTTCTGATTGAACGGTATCAGTGGCACATGACCAGTAACGATTTTATAACACAAGAGTTTCAGTTTCTGCGAAAAGGAGTCCTCATCCCAAAACAGAGGTTGCTGCACACGTGCCCACGCGATCAGCGGAAGGTACGCTCCGATACGGGTCGGACCGGCAACCTGAAAGCTGGGCAATTTTATTAGAGTTTCTGCGCTGCCAGCCGTGCTTCAAAAAAAAAGTCCTTCCCGTTCAAAGTTGACAGGTTGCACAATCTTGTTGGAAAATATTCTCTTACGTTATGCTTGATCTGCAGAAACGAAGCGTAGGCCACTCGGTGACAGATGAAGCCTGTTGTTCTTCTTCCACTGTTTTGCCATGTATCCATGCCTGTGCTTCCTCTGAATCAAGACCATATCAATTTTCCTTGATATTTCGCCGGCAGGTTTCAATAATCACTTGATTGCCGCATCCGGCCAGATAAAGCAGCAATGTGTCAAAGGGGTAGATCAGAGGGAAATTCCGCGCCGCTGTCTTCCTTTGCATTGCAACTGCACTCCAATGCCTTTGATTCCTGTCTGTCCTCATTGTGTATTGTGTTTTCGCCGATGTTGTGGCCTTGAATGGCGGGACCCTCATGGAAACGTGTTGTATGTCGTATGATGGAAGAGCAATGGGCATGAATCTCGACCAACTTTACATTTGTCATTGAATCGCAGTTTCTGTCACTGCTCTGTGTTCCTCGACCCATATGGTGCGAGCCCACTGCATGAGCTAAGCCGAACCCCCGAAGTTGCTGACTTGCGGGCCAAGTGTACCGTAAAAGGGCGAGCAGACGATCCGTTCCCTTCTGCGTTCCCGCGACCGGTCAAAAGAAATGTGTGATTCGTTAGCTTGTGTGAGCTAGATGCAGTTGTTAGCCAGCGCAGACGTTAGCGCTATGCATGAATACCGCGAGTTGGATTGGTAGATTCTGTAGAGTGTGTAGTACGCCGCCACGTATGACTACAACACCGTTCTCCTTTCATCTCTATAGTGCCATTTCATGGCGCTTTTATATCCGACATGTTGGTGAGCTATTTGTCATTATCTTAGTAGCTGCAAGGTGCTTGAAAAGGACGAAGGGACGTGTTCGAGGGGATAGAGCGCGACTCTGGTCTCGGTGGTCTGATGTCGTAATCAAGCTAGGAGTCATCAGTGCATGTTCGAGTATCTCATCCATAGAATGAACATACAGGCCACGTTAACAGGAGGCATCAAACCTGTACAGAATGCAGCCGTCCTCGGTGTGGCTGACTTGGGAGTGAGCGCAGATAGTCCTTGGCGAGATAGAAAAATGCGTTTCCGTGACACCCGAGCCTCCAGAGCGTCTCTATCAAGTAAGCCCGTCGCGTTGGACAGTCATCCGTATTGCGGTTATCCTCTATCCTCAGCCGTGTCTAGCCACTGCGAGATGCAGTCCGTTGCGGTAATAGGTGCTGCATGGCAGGCAAAGGATCGGTCGTGACAAGCGAGTAAGATTGTTGGAGACGTAAGCGGTCGTCTGTGTTTAGGCGAGAGATCGAGTGAGCCAATCCGGCAACTTCTTTGCAAGAGACCAGCAAGTGAGCTGGTCCTCGGAAGGCAAGGGTATCGATGTCAATACAGACTGTTCAAAAAGCGCTGAGGAGGAAAAGGGAAGGCTGGGTTAAGTTCGGAGAGTGAATTGTCCCGAAGATCTGCATCAGTGCATGGAGACAGCGGGTGAATGAGTAAGGAGACAGCATTACATATAGTACCCACTGGAACACGAAGTCTCTGAAAGTATACTATGTAGCTCGGTACATGACTTCGTATTTATGACTTGCTTTTTCGGAAATGTTCACATTTTCTGTATGCCTAGTCTCAGTGAAATCCTTCGTAGTCATGCGCCTCAGATTTGCGTCTGCCGGTCTGGAGGCGTCAGCTAGCAAAATGCAACAGTTACACTGCTTTCCACCCATGCATCCATGATACAGTGATACCACTCTATCCACGCATCAATAGCCAACATCGTATCGATACAGGACTAGAGCTTCTACACGAAGAGAAATTCCTCTAATCTCCTCGGGAACCATGAAGCCATTCGGCGACACCCCTGGAACGCGTGTGCTCTCACTGGCGTCAGCGAGCCCCATTGAAACGCAGAGCCAAGGGGGGCCAAAACTGCCAGTCATGTGTCACTCTGATCAATCATATGACGACCCTGCTTATCACTCGCATTCGGATAGCAATTCCCCCCGTCTCTGGCCTGCACAATCATCCTAGTAGACACGCTTCTAGAACTGTCCAGGCTGAAGATGCCTCTCTGCGCGCAAGGCTGTGAGGGAGCAGAGAGTGAAGCTCACTACCTTTGGGTCTCTCTGCCCACACCATAATACGATTAGACACAGTGAAGCCGTCATCTTCCCCTACTCACATAGTACCGCACTCTGATACAGTAAGATCACAATCTCCTCCTTCCTCCTCCTCCCTCCCCCCACATACACACATCCACGCAATCCCTCAATCGCTCAATCCCTCTCCCCAAGCCACACCATATCCAAACTCCCCACTCCTTGGCGCATCTCCCTCGCTTACAACCCAACTGTACCCAATGTAACCCAGCCACGCATCCCAAATCCCTATCCCGCATATTTCATCCTTACTACTACTCGAGTCCCCGAGAAAAGGGGGGTGTGGGACAAAAGGAAACGCGTGGGGCTAAATTTCCTTGGCTTGACTTGACTTCACTTGACTGGGGCTTGGGGGGTGGTCGGAGTGGTTTTGATCCGGTTGGCCAGCGGGCAAAGGGTGATGTGACGGGCAGCGGGTTAAAGAAGGTAAGGACAGGAGTTTGTGTGTGTTTGGGCTAGGAAAGGCAAGTATCTGGTCCTTTTTTTTTTCTTTCCCTCCGCTTTCGGCGTTTTTGGGGGAGGGGGGGCGTGGGGCGGTTGCGCGGATCTTGGGGCTGGGCGGCTTGCGCGAGGGTTTTTGCTTTCGTCCGAGGGTTGTGTGGGTTAGTGGTGGTTCATCCACGCGCTGGGGTAGGGATACGCAAAGGTGAGTGAGATGAGGCTCTTCCCATCACAATCATCATGTGTCCATCACAGTTCAACAACACCTGTTAGAAACAGATAGACATTTAGCAATCAAACCATGCTTGAAAAGGAATACAGTATTGATACAAACGCAGGGCAGACGAGTGACAAGCCGCTAAGTAGCCAAACTGCGAAATAAATGAATGCAAGTACATTTCGAAATACGAATTTTACCTCCCGGCCCGGTTTCCCCCCATTGCCCCATATCCCGTTTCCCCCCTTCTCCTACCTTAACCCAAGCAAAAGAAAATCAAGTTAACAACGTCGATAAGCCACTATGACCACCAGCTTCCAAATGATAACAACATAAAAAACAACAAACAAAAAAGGAGTGACTATTGTCGATCACAAAAAATTGTGACTCGAGCGTTGGATATTCCCAATTCCCATCAACTTGATTCAATCTTTCGCGCCAATTTCAATGAGTCCGAGCAAACATAGCTCAGTCGAGTCACAGCCATCGTTCAAGAAGTAATACTCTGATTCATCTGCGTGCCCAAGCTACGATAGTGGCTTGCTGGCGGCGGCATCTGCGCAGAATTCATATATCCAGTAATCGTCCTGAGCGCAACCTCGGAGCAGTCTTCTTTTGCCTGAGAAAGATAGTCGCCATCGTACCAGAAGCGAGCTTGGTAATTGGTACCGCTGACAGAGACCATGGTGGTCCATGCAGTTCGGCCTCCTGGCCTGGGGTGTTAGTTGATTCTCTTAACAAGCTGAGGGGTGGATGCTGAAGTAGAAATATGGTGGTGCTGCAAATTTTCAGGAGAAGGTGGGTAAGAAGGGCCGCCGTACCTCGGCGATCCGAAAGATCCGTATAAGTTGGCTCTGGTATACCGCGGACCAGGCAATGCTCTGAGCAGGCATGTTAACAGACGACTGTGTGTGTGTGCAATGCAACAGGTAGAGTGGGGGGTAAATGGAATACCAACCTCGAAGGCGTTGTGACCACGAATCCGGGCTCGTCATTGTAGGCAGCAGGAGTATCAGTTGGAACAGGCGTGATAAGAGGCACGTGAAAGAAAGCAAGAAGAGGGAGCAATGCTTTGTGAACAAGAGGATGGACAGAGTGTGGGGGAAGGAAAGTTTGATACACCAGGGCTGAGCGATGCTCGGAGAAGTTATCAAAAAAGGGCTACTTATAACCCGGCCGACATGGAGACAGAGGCTCGATGAGTAGCAGAGCGACAGGCGGTGGCAGCAGTGAGTAACAGAGATGAGCGGCAAGCTGCTTCGTCAGTCATACTCTCTTCTAGTCTGTGATGCACACACAACTGCCAGGAGCCGTCGAGAGCCAGCTGGTTCAACGGGGGCACAGCGAACTTTTTTGCACCCGCTCAACGAAACCCAAGCCATTGGGTCGAGAGGCGCCCTCTAGAGCGGGCCGATGGGGTATGCGAGAACCAAGAACATGGCTAAGGCGAAGCGCAGCCGAATCCTGCATGCGGAGAGTTGATGGATTGCGTGGGTACAGCTCAGGTGAGCAACCATGGCCGTGGAGAGCGCGGTTGGCAGTACCCTGAATGGGGCAAGGGCTGCATGCAGCGTACGCCCGTTTGAAAAGCTGTCAGTTTGGGGGGTTTGGTGAGGGTTATTCTGGAACTGGAGCCCAAGAGAATTCCATTGCGTATGCACATGGCTGCAAGGCATGATGCTAGTGGGAAGCCAGCTCACCATGCAGCAGTAGCCAGAACCCCCGTCACGGTCGTCGGCATAGAGGGCAGCCATGATATCATAAGCCGAAGATTCTCAGCGACATGAACAATATGGCCTGGGGGCAAAGGTGAGCGGGCAGCGACGGGCAGACATGGGATGGGGGATTGTGAGGCGGGTGGCGGGTGCTTTGGTGACGGCGGACGGCGTCTAACGACGACTTGCATATGGAGAGACGGAGCGGTTCGCACTTACTGGCTTGGCATGACATGCATGGTGCCCACGGAAATCAGCTGTCACATGGCAACAGAGGTAAACGGGTACCTGCTTGGCTGTTTGCCCTCTGTCCGGTGCAATCATCGTGAAAGCAAAAAGTCAACATGTATCCGAAGCCTTGCGTTGTGCCATCGCAGTCCTTGGCGATCCGCTTTACACCTTGCCCGTGACACCTGGTGCGAGGTGCTACAACTCCCACCACACGCCTGTCGAGACTGTTCAGCCGGCACCGAAGCCTCACTCCGCATCAATGCAGCCTCTCCAGCCCGACGCGTAAGCAAACATCACAACGGAGGTGTACTATCAGTCTACACTTCAGCGCATGCGGGCGTGCAAAAGCCTCACTGCGACCCTAGGGGGCGTGCCCTGCATAATCCAGACGCCAGCAATACAGAAAACAAAACAGAACAGTCTCACACGTGGCGGGCATTGGACCAAAAATAGCAGAGGGCAACGGGCCCTAGTTTCATTATTCGTTCCAAATAAATGGTGGTATCGTAACGTGGATCCAAAACATGTATCGATCCGAGGAATAGAGTGGCTCTTCGTAACCAAGAAAAAAAGAAGACATAACTCGACAATCGTCTCAACGTGCTCAAGTCCCTGGCGGGAATGGTATCCTGTGAAACCCACGCTCAACAAATGCAGCAAACTCATGACGCAATCCGTGCCGTGGTCAAAGAAACCATGCGCATACCAAACATCAAACAAGACAAAAATAAGCACAAAAGAAAATCGACAACCAGCCCTGTAACAACGACTGCTGTCCATCGGATCCTGTCCCAACAGAACAGTTCTGACAGCTCCGTCGTACGTGTACCATTAGATGATGCGTCTACCCTACGGTTGCAGGGATATGCGCCAACGCAGCGGGCCTCGAATGAACAAATGTGAAGCAAATCAACCAGGCCAACACCTCACGTCGCGACACGACGCACAGCCGCCGGTGGTGGTGGTCTCTTGGCTGTGCTACCGTCGTGCTGCTTGCGGTTGAAGACTTCATCAATCAACCGCCTGGGTCCAATGTACTCCAAATTGGCCATCTTGAACGATGAGTTGCGCAGCAGCGGAATGTGCATGTGCGTAGTCTGCTTCGAGTGAAAACGTCGCTTGATGCAGTCATCCACAAGTGCCATTAGACCCGTTGCAACCACAACACTAGTTTATCAATGTTAGCTTGCTGCCTGTCGTAGCGGCGGGGTCGTCGTTTGTGACTTACTCAGATATGTCCGAGTCGGAGCTCAGGATCCGCTCATCGGTGATGCGCATATAGCACGGGGGCACCCAGCCACCCCTCGCAGCCTCCTCATGCGCTTCGCTGGGTGTCACGCGCACAGGACAGATGTGAGCGAGCGGCTCCTTGTCGTTGTCGTCGCGGACCAAGTAGTAGGAAATGGATTCTTGCTGGCCTTCTTTCTTAATGATGCGTTTCCACGAATAGTCGTTGCCCCAGTATTCAAACGCATACTTCTTGTAAGACTTGGCGCCACGTCTCTTAACATCAATGTGGGCGTAGTTGGAAAACTCGAGCTTAATGGTATTCGTCGGAATCAGTGCCCGGCCTTTGGAGTAGCCCACGGTTTTGGGACGTGACTCAACTAGCTCGTCGTCGTCATCATCATCGTCGTCGCGGCGAGTAATGTGGTGCATTGAGTCATATCCCGAGTCTGCTCGCTTCAGGCCAGCTGATGTCGAGGGGCGGGATTCGGATTTGACAAGGCTAGCGAGGGCTGTGCTGGCACGCTGCAGCACTGGCCGCATCTCGGTGGCGGGCTTCTGGTACTTGCGTGTTGAGTGGCAAACCTCACGGCCAGAGTCTCTGCAGTAGCGACGAAGCGAGAATTGACGGGTGCGAAGGTCCTGCATGCGGAGATGGAACAGAGTGTAGCTCTGTTTTCGGTGTGATCGATCCTCGACCTGTGTGTCCACCCTCAGGTTCATGTTTCCATCAATTGTCGAGTCGTCGTGTCGTATTGATATGCGTTTTGACGTGGGGAAGAGCTCTCCAAAGTCGCGGGGTGTGGTGGGAATGGCATCGCCGCCCAGCGGCTCGTGACGATATACGGGAACATCGTAGTCGGGCATGCCTTCGAAATCATCGGCGAGATCCTCTTCTGATGTCGATGCATATGTGTCGACTGATGAGCGTGGAGGAAACTGCTGGTAAGGTTCGACTTGATATCGAGGCGTAGCGTAATCATGTTCCTGATAGCGTCCTTGTATACGGCCATGACATGTTTCGCTGTAGGCCAGAGACGGTCTCCGGCCGCTGTACTCTGTTGGGGCTGTTTCGTAGGAACGGTCGCTGTGTTCACTGCGACCTGAAGTGGTACTGTTGCTGGACTGATACTGTCGCCAATGCCCGGATGGCGCCATGACGTGATGTGTGTGCGGTGTGTGTGTGTGTGTGTGTATGGGATGTGACGTGTCGACAGCCACGCGATCAAAGGGATACTCGGGAGCAGAGGCGGAGAGTGTGAATAGATGGTTTATTGTGTGTTTGAATGGCGTTATAGTGCAACGCAGACAAGCGTATACATAGACTACGAGAGACTGGGGCCTGGGGTGAAGCAGGCGGCGCAGCGATCTGAGACAGCTGACGAAAGGGTGACCTGGCACAAGGCGGGCGCAAGGGCCGAGAGGGGGGATTAATACAAAGTGCAGCCTGTGGGTGAGAGAGCAGCACGAATGGAGGCGCAGCGCATAGCGTGCGTGGGTGGGATGAGGGAGGATGGGGGTGGGTGAGAGAGGGAGAGTAGTGGTGTGCTCGCGGGGTTCTGGATGCCTCGAGGCCGGTTGATCGTTCCCAATGCGGTCGATCAGCGTCAACCAAGATGGCTGCGAAGCACTGCAACCTGCGCGCAGCGCGCAGCGCGCTGCACACGCTCAATGGGCCTTGGCTGCTTGCAGCTAATCGTCAGCGCCGTTGGCAACCATCTAGACCTCCTAGGCCATCTGACTTTGCCTGCATCGGGTCCGCTGCAGCATCCTCGGCGAATCGCCGTCGTCCGCTGACCCTCCTCCACCAACCTTGTCCAACGCCCACGCGCGCCATGACAACCGGCCGAGTGCAATTGAGTGCTCCATTGCCAAACCGCGACGCTTCCTGCGCCGTCTGCACCATCCGCAACTCTCGCCTACCGTTGAAACAAAGAGGAAACAATCTCGCCCAGCAAGCACTCCGCGGCGACACAGCCGACAGAAGCACCAGCACTCCCCATGTTCGGAACCGCACTGGCTGTTGCGAGACGAGCTCCCGGTCGCCCATCGGATCCGGGCACTTACGGGACGCTCCTTGGTGGCTGATCCTCCCACGTGTATCGATATTTCATGCTGTTTCTCCATGCCCTGTCCCGGTTGTCAGCAGACAATGGCGAGACTCTTCCGCTGTGTGGCATTTAGCCATCATGTCGACTCCGATGCCGACGTCATATCCCACGCTCTTGTATTACATATGTTTGTACGTACTATGTAGTATGCGCGATATCCAAGTATGTATGTATGTATGTATGTCCTATACGGTATCTTGCGGCAGCCGTCGGCTTGCAATTGTATATCCCTTGGGTCGCGGCCGAGTATGCAACCGCCTCTCTGACGCAACGAGGCTGGACGCTGCCTTGACAAGGACCAGCCTCCCATCCAACTACGGCCGCTAGCTGCCTGACCCATTGCCCAGTGACTGAAATCCCCCACGACGGGTGAGTGAACATGATCGTCACGGAGATCGAAGATGGTGAGCGACAACATTGCAGGGCCCTGGCACAAGGAAGCCGTTGGGCATCACTCGCGCCATTCTTGCTTGTCGAATGCCAGCGTCGTTGGTTACTCTGCGGCTTGCTGTGTGGCAACCTGGCGCACCACACGTGATTATACGATAAATGTATCCCCACACACCTTTTCTTTCTCTGCGCCACCCGTACTGTTTAATTGCATCACTTTGCAGCCTCTTCTCTATCCTTTTTTTCTTCCTTTTTTCCGTTCTACATTCTACCCCAGGATGAAAAGGTTACCTGGCTGCACGAATTGTGGAGCCAATCAAGGCGGGGTACGTGGTGGCTTTGAAGAAGAACAAGCACGACGCAACGACAACAACATGGACAACAACTCATAATCCAATTCACACGTCATGTCTGGAAAATTTGCTCTAATCAAACTTCACAACTCACAATCAAGATGCCGAGTCAGGCATCGATAAAAGACTGGCTTCTTTGGTAGGCTTGTTCCATGTTTGCGCCCCTGTATCCATCTTTTTCCACTTTCTCTTCTATTTGGGCTAAGCGCACTGCCAGCGCTTCAGTTACGTGCCCCCAAGCCTTCTAGACGTTTTGCTGCCCTTCCAGAAACGGCAATCACCAAAGCCCCCACCATGCCATGTTTCTACCATCAAAGCACAGTACGTACGTATCTAGTAAATGTACATGGCCATCTGTCTAATTACTAAGACACGCCCTCCATCACTCCGCTTGAACCCTTCCCATACCCGTCCGAGTGAGGCGGAGCCGGTACCCGTCTGTCCAATCCGTCCATGCAAGCCCCACCTTTGCTCCAACTGCCGGCGACAAATGAAAAAACCGGAAATCACCTCTCAAGACAATCTTCACATTGCACACAAATACATCACAGCAAGTACAATCATGGGAGAAACATTGCGCGCAAGAGTCTATATCATTTCCCAGCTTGGTACTACGACTGACCAGTGCCGCTCATTGACTTGTTGATATCGTCAATCGTCGTCATCGTCGATCCGCTCGCATCACCCAAAGTCAGACTTGGCAGCTAGGCCAAGCATTTACAGCTGGCCGGACTTCTCAATCTTGACTTCCTTGCTGGTCTTGCCAGTTTGAGAGCCAACCTTCTCAACAGCCTGGACAACGTCCATGCCCTCGACAACCTGGCCGAAGACGACGTGCTTGCCGTCCAGCCATGAGGTCTTGACAGTGCAGATGAAGAACTGGCTACCGTTGGTACCTAGACGACTTGGTTAGCTTGCCCTGCCCGCGCATACATAACATTGTAAACATACCAGGTCCAGCGTTGGCCATGGAGAGAACACCGGGTCCAGTGTGCCTTAGGTTGAAGTTCTCGTCCTCGAACTTCTCGCCGTAGATGCTCTCACCACCGGTGCCCTGCGCTACGTCAGCCAGCTGCTCTTCGTTGATAGACTCGGTTATAGCAATTACGTACGTTGCCGCGGGTGAAGTCACCACCCTGAAGCATGAACTGGGGGATGACGCGGTGGAAGACGGAGCCCTCGTAGTGGAGGGGCTTTCCAGACTTGCCGGTACCCTTCTCACCGGTGCAGAGGGCGCGGAAGTTCTCAGCAGTCTGTCAATGGTGGTTAGCTGGTGGTTCACTACTTGGAGCGCTTGAAAAGACAAAACAAGAGCGATGGTGCAGATTCTGACGGCGGGGTACTCACCTTGGGGACCTTGTCTGCGTAGAGCTCCATGACGATCCTGCCAGCGGGCTGGCCGCCAATGCTGACGTCGAAGAAAACACGGGGGTTGGACATTTTGATGGGAATAGGATTTGTATGTGCAAACAAGTGTGTGTGAGGATGGAGTGTTGTTGAACAAAGTGATGAGGGGCAGCTTTTAAAAGACCAAGGGCGGATGGAGGGGCATAAGTTAGCCGCCTATTACAGAACACCATAGCTCGCAGAGCAGTCACATGATGCTTCTTGGCGCCGTCAATAGAGGGGTAACTGGAGTATTCCATGTCAGGGCAGACGTAGTCTGCATGCATCCTCATGCGCCCTGATCCTTCACTCCGCTACGTAATTACGGAGCTCCGCATTCGTCTTCGCCCTCTGATCGCACCGGACACGGATGTCCAGCACCATAGTCTCTGGGCTGGCAGAGCGCGCCATGTTCAGCTCAGCTCAGCCCAGCATAGCGCCCCGTGGCCGGCTCCTCACTGCGAATACGAGTCGCCGGACGCTCTACATATCTAACACCACTCGCGCTTGTCAAAATTAGCCATGCCACGGCCTTTTCTACTCTTTCGAATTTCGGGACACAAAAAACCATCAACACCAGCTTTAGTACAGGGGTCAAAGAGATGCATTATAGCTACCTATTATGACGACAAAGGAAATATGTGCCGCTGCACTAAAATAAAACAAAGGAAACCATGGTTTACAAACGCCCAGCCACACTGCTGCACCCTTCAACAGCTTCAGTACACGGGTATCAAACAATATCTAAGGTTGCCCCAAAACCTGCTCCATCTCAGCCTGTCGCGCAAACTCGGCGCGTTCCGCCTTATCCTTGGCCTCAGCCTCTGCCCACAATTGAATCACCTCTTGCTTACGTTCTGCGCTTCTCGGCTCAAAGGCCATCTCCCATGGGTCTGGCTTGATGATGAGAAGCGAGTTGGACTTGTTGAGGGGTACCTCGATCTCTTGGCCCGAGACAGGGTCGATCTTGCGTTTCAGGTTGAAGGCCCACATGAGCGCTCCGCAACCTGTCACCGTCTCGTCCCGAGTAATGGACATACCTAGACATTGACGCTGACCCCACCCAAAGGACGTCATGCCCACAATGTCAGGGTACTTGGTCAATGGCGCTTGGAACGTAGGCCACTCGGGCTCCAACCACCGCTCGGGACGGAACTCTTCAGGCTCAGGGTACTTGACAGGGTTGCGGAGAAAGGCATAGTCAAGAGGGAGGATGCGCGTACCCTTGGGGATAAAGTAACCATGGAACCAATCGTCTGCTTCAGCCTCATGCGCAACGCCTATTTTCCCGGTTAGTGCAAATGCAGTCAACTTAAGCGAACTGACATACCAGTTGGAACAGTGGGCTTCCACCTCATTGTCTCCTTGATACACGCGCGCAAGATGGGAAGGTTTGGCAAGTCAGCAACAGAAGGAGGCTTGTGACCGCAAACACGATCAATCTCATTCTGGCACTTGACCTGCCACTCTGGGTGGTGAACCATGCTGATCAAGAAGTAGTAAATAGGACCGGTAACAGTAAAGATGCCAACGAGCGCCATCATTCCAATGACACACGAGGCCTCATAATCGCCAGAGATGTTTGACTTTTCGGCAGTCTCAAGGTAGTTCTTGGTGAAGCAGGCTCGTTGTTGGCCCTTCTCCATCTTCCTCCTAGTGTTCTGTAGGCATTCCATGAAAAAGGCTTGTTGGTCGTCATGGCGCTTACGCTCACGAATCTTCCACGGGTTGATGGGCTCGGGCAAGTAGTCCCAAAGAGGAGTAAGAACGTTGGTGATTGGACCGGCAGGGGACATTTGTGTAAGCAGACCCCACGCGCTAGGGGTAAGAGGGGTACTAAGTGAGGCATCATCCCATGTCAGTTGGCACATGACCTTGGAGCACATGTCCTCGAGGGAGGCAGAGAAGTCATCGGGGTTCTCCAAAAGCCTGGCCATCCATCGCTTGGCCTCGAACTCCATGATACCATTGTACTGCACATTGGTTGCGCCGGTCAGGTAAGAGTGTGTAAACTTTCGCTGACGAGCCCAGTACTCTATTGTCTTGTCAGTCCGATTCATCCTTCGCCCGCTAGGGGTCAACGTACGATTCTTGCCCATAAGGGGCAGATACTCCATGGAACCATATGTGCTCTTCGCATCGAACAACGACTTGATCTCAGGTCGGTCTGAATACACCTTGGCTTTCTTCACCAGCATTTCCTCGGCAAGCTTTTCGTCTGAGATTATGACAAAGTTGTCGCCTAACATCTTGGTCCGGTAGATGGGGCCATACATGTCCGACCACTCCTTGAACTTCAGCCACATAAACTCGATGGGAAGGTCGTGAATACGACCAATCCACGGGACCAGCCGTGGTCCAGGCATGTTCTGAACATTGTATCGCTTGTCGTACTTGGCGACAGCGTCCAATACAGCGTATACGACAAGGCCAGCAACTGCCACGCCAAGCGCATACACCGTGAAAGAATGCATGTCGGTAACGCAAGTGTGATTAAGGAGAGTGTCGAAAGGTATGGGTCAAATATGGTAGGCGTCGACAGCCGGTAGCCAAGCCTCGAGAACGAAAACAGGTACGAGAACGGGAAGTAAATGAGGACACACTGACAACGACCAAAGATGCGTGAGAAGCCTGGTAGATATCACACCACAGTTGTCAGGTACACAATCTGTTCTCCGGCTCCCCAGGACGTGCTTTATGTACGAGCATACAGGGACTGATAGTGGGATGAGACGATCCATGACCCTACATCCATCGGCGTGAACATAGGCATCACCGATATGGCCTAAGTTTCGCTTCGAGGGACAGACATCATGCTGTCCAATGGACATCGATGGAAATATGCCGAGCCAATATTTGGTCAGGACCCCACGACAACAACATCCTTGCCTACTCGACATCCTGATACCCCCGAGCAATGGAAAATGTCAAGGTCGGTGCTGACGAACACCGACTTATGACACGTTGAGATGGTTCAGATTAGGTCCAGGATGTCTGGGTGGGCCCAAAGAGAATAGAGATCGTCATGGACTAAGCGCTGATGCTTGGATGTGAACGTACCAGACCAGCCAAGCATAGCCACGAGGACTAGATGCGAGTGACGAAACATCATTCTACCAGCCGACCCCCTGTTACCCTACTTTTTGCGAGAAAGCCACGACCTTTTGCCCCCAAAAGACAGCCTTGCTATCTGCAAAAAACCCTCCTATTGGGTATTGGAAACATGGTCACGCTGCTGTACTCTCCTCGGCGAGGCTTTATATTGTCAAGATTTTCCATACAAGTGTCACAATCCATTTTGGGGCGCCATGTTGTGTACTAAGTCATGCCTTGATACTCTGCAAGAGTGTGGCACGTCGTGTACTGAGAGCCTACCCCGGTCCCCTTCTGGCAGATGTAGGTCTCTTCGGCCTTGAGTTCCGCGCAAAGACATGCAACACGGCTCGCTTGAATGTCATGACGTCTCCAATAGCTATGCATAGAAAACTAGGGGTATCATTAGGGAAGGTGGTTGAAACCAGCCATGTAAAACGGCTTTCAAATCACATGAGTGGCGGTGTCCTATCGTCTGCAAACCATCATAGGCTGCGATGATCCACAGCATCTGACAAGCGTCTGCATCTTACATGGGAGGCTTGATAAACCACTTTTCTTAGAGTTGACTTAGTGTACCGTCGACAAGCTTGGCTTCCGGAGTTTGTGGGGAACCATAGCGCTGCATGCACGGGCGTAAAGTACTCCCGGGAGTTTCTAGTTAGCGTCATGACTATCGGACGTAGCGCAAGCTCAACAGACCGCGTTCCTGACATCTGCCACTAAAGGTGTTGATGCTTGCATTGCGTGACTGTCGTCGTGCGATCGCAAAAGAACGTATGTTTGAAGCTGACCGACCACCCGGACATCCGAGAGGCCTTCGGCAACCCTTGCTGGTACCCCAACGGACAATGCCAGCACAGCGAAGATTCGACGTGTATGAAAAGCAGGCATGTTGGGGTTCATGTCGGCTTCGACGACACTCCCTCTCTCATCCTCCCTTTACACTCTACGAAAGAAATCGCCATCATGCCTCACGCACTCACCTCCCGTGACTCGACCATGGAGTCGAAGCCAATAGGGTCTTATCCCAAGACTGGCATCGATGTCCTGATTGTTGGGACTGGTCTTGCTGGACTAGTTGCCGCCCTCGAGTGCACGCGCAAAGGCCACAATGTGCGAGTTTTGGAAAGGAATGCCGACATTAACACAGCTGGTGAGCAGGCACCTAGGGGTCTAGCGTGGAGCATATTGCTTATGATCAACTTCAGGTGACATGTATTTCATGGGCCTCAGCGCGACACGGTTCTTGAAGCACTGGCCTGAACTTCTCAAGGAATACAAGAAAATATCACTTCATAATGCCTGGATTGAGACCTTCAAACACTCGGGTGAGGTTGTTATCGGGCCCAAGAAGGTCGCGGACCGTCTGCGTGCCCAGGGGCTGGACCCCGACACACCGCCTGGCGAGTTCCAGATGCGCCCGCTCGTGTACAAGATGTTTGTGAGCGCAGTCGAGAACCTTGGTGTCTCTGTAGAGTTCAACCGCAGGGTCATTGACTACTTTGAGGATGAACAGACAGGGAAGGGTGGCTGCGTTACCGATGACGGCAAACGCTATGAGGCAGATGTTGTGATTGCAGCCGATGGTGTTGGTTCCAAGAGTCAGAAGCTGGTCGGCGGACAGGTGCGCGCAAAACCCTCAGGCAGGGCTATGTGGCGCGCTGCTTTCCCCAGGGAAGCCTTGGCCAAGGACCCCGAGGTCGAGGAGTTCTTCAAGATGATGCCTGGAAACGAGCCTATCGTGAGGACATGGCTAGGGTACGTAGTGATTTGCGACCCAACATGCGATTATTCTGACCTGCTCTAGCCCATCCACATACGCTCTTACTCTGTCCCGTGAAGATGTCATGGTCTGGATTATGAACCACGATGTAGGCGTCAGACTAAGCGTCGCTGAGAAGCCCAACTAAAGTGTTTCAGGTTACTGGTACTGAAAAAGAAAGTTGGAGCAACACGATCGATAAGCAAGAGGTACTCGACGGCATGGACACCATGCCTGGCATGGAGACGATCAAGTGGGCTCCGATCTTCAAGCAACTTGTCGAAGTAACACCACCCAACACGATTGTCAACTTTGAACTGCTTTGGCGTAATCCCCAGCCAAGCTGGTGCTCCCCTGGTGCTCGCGTCATTCAAATCGGCGATTCCGCACACTCTTATCTCCCGGCCTCTGGAAACGGCGCAACACAAGCAATTGAGGATGCTATCTCAATAGCTTCGTGTCTCCAGATTGGCGGCAAGGAGAACATTCCTCAGTCTGTTCGTGTCCACATCCGATTCCGGTAAGCGCCTACTTTGTTTCCCCTAATTACATCTGCACTGAGACTGACTCGCAATCAAAGTTTCATTCGCAACTCTTGCGCTCAAAAGTTAGGCTTCTCTAATGCCGAGCTCCTTCAAGACACCGATTGGGATAAGGTTAAGTTGGACCCACGTCGTGCTGCGCCTAAGCTCCCCAAGTGGGTGTGGGGCCATGACCCAGAGGCCTATGCCTACGAAAACTATGAGAAGAGTGCTCAGTCTCTAAAGGAAGGTATCGACATGAAGGATGAAGACAAATTCGAGCCCAACTACCCCAAGGGATACAAGTACGAGCCCTGGAGCATTGAGAACATCATGGAAGACATGAGGGTCGGCAAGACCATTGATCTCGGTGCTGGTGACTGGGAGTAGCAAGGCTTCCGAGACTTGTTTATGCGGTATAGTCACAGAGAATAGTCCTGCGTACTCAGGGTTTTGATATTTAGCCTAATGATAATGATATCGAATTGTTACTACTTGATCAGCATCCTTTCCACCCTTGTGCTGGCACCATGTACTACAAACAATGCTACAACTGGAAGACTCCAAAGTTTCCGTCACGCCCGGGGTACTTTCCAGAACACTCGTACATTGCCATGCAGCATAAGCACATGATCAGCGGGAGGGTCCGTTGGCTCGGTTATCTCTCCCAACAAATGACCTCTCTCCTGACTCGTTGGCGCCCATCCTTCGTATACCCCCCCTGCAATTCCGTATTCTCTGCAATTCCAACTCCCCAAAGCGTACAGCCTTCACATCACAATTACATTCCCACATCCACATGCGTCTCGGTGCGACACAACACACCACGTTGTCCCTCGCTTACCTTGCATATCAAATACCTGCATGCATGTGCCTTCCCTCGTATATCCCGGAATGTCGTCGCCCTGGCCCCCTTGTTGAATTCTGGTACGGAATCTTGACGGGAAAGCGTGTCCATGTGCAGCAAGGCAAACAAAAACAAAAGGAAAATAGTAGCCATGCAACACGATGCCCGTTGCGCAGGTGTACACATACATACACACTCGCCCGTCATTGTGCCAGCAAAGCCTCTCTCGTCTTTCTTTTCGAAAGAAAATAGAACACCGCATTGCATCACCTCAACTCACAGAAAGCACATGATCATTTCCATCACCAAAAAAGAAACAAGCAAAAAAAAAAAACACAGCCTACTTCCCCATCGATCACAATTCCTCATCCATCAATTCATAGAGAAAATGAGTAAGTATTTGGTCCGAGAAAATAAACATGCCAATTGTGGTACAAAACAAGTCCTGCAAGTTGCATCCATCCCCTCCTCGACTTGAAACCCCCCACCACCACCACCATATTCAACCTCCCAATAAAGCAAACCCACCTTTTTTTTCCGGAAAGTCCGAAGGAAAAAAAATCACCACGGCTCTCCATCGGGAAACCCAGGGAAATGCAGAGAGACCCGCAGTTGTGATGCAAGCGAGGCATGCGCGGTGCTCCGTGGAAGACGCAAAAAGAAGAAAATATATGATGACGTTTCCGATGGGTGGGGTTGGGTGGGCGCTAGAGAGCATGGAGGGGGGGGGCGGATGGAACGCGAATCAGGATGTTTGTTGTGATGAATTGGCATTGTTGTTTGATGCGAGTATTGCTTTTTGGTTATGCGTAAAGTGGGAAATATGATGAGGGTGATGTCCTTCCCCCCTCCCCCTTCCCTTTTTGCTGGAGGGGTGCTGATGGGATGGACGTTGCAATGCGATTCACATGATGGAGGATTTTGCCCGTCTCCGAAGATGTATGTACGCTTTTTGAATTGCCGACACGTATTGAAAAAAAAAACACAGTTCTGAGGATCGAATCAACCAGCGCATCATCAAATTCACTCACCCAGTGCAGTTTCCAGCTTCATCTGTAACTCCTCTACTTTCTTACTATGCATGAACTCTCTTACGCCCTCTATCCTCCTCCCGTCCTTGCTCATCTTCACAAACAACACCGCTTCAGTCCACCATTCCGTAATACCACTCGCTTCAAGCGCCCTTCCCTTGTCCCCTTGCTCATTTATCTTCCCGCCCATGCGACAATGCGCAACAACAGTATCTGTGTCACGTGAGAAATGCACCGCGGGACCGCCGTACCCGTCGTCTTGAGGTGTCACTTGGAAGCTGCTGAAGACGTCAAACATGGCTTCCATGTTATCTCGGAACGCGCGGATAGGCAAGGGTGGGAGTCCCAAGTCAGCAGGCAAGGAGGAAAGGGTGAAGTCGCGGGTGGCGTGCGTGGTGAGCGCGTGGGGACGCAGTGTGGAGTAGCTTCTTATGAAGGCGTTGAAGGTTTGCATGTGTGGCGTGTTTTCTTGGGATTGTGAGGGATACAGATAGTATGCTAGTGGTGCAAGGGTTGCAATGGCTGCGAGGGCCACGGTTGCGAAGCGGATTTCTGATTGCGAGAAGTGGAGGAGGTCGGTCATTTCGATGGCCTTGAGATGTGATGATTTGTTGTTTGAAGATGACTTTTCATGTTGTAAATCTTCGAGCTACCGTTTGGCCTCATAGCTAGGTCCATTGCAACAATGGCCATCCCAGTCCGTCACTGCTGGTAGCGTGGAGGACCGGTGTCGTCACTTTCCTTCAGCTCTACCCGAACTGATCAACGAACCAAACTCCGGCAATTCGCCTTGGTTGATCTACGTGCATATCCCACGCTTGTTTTCATCTTTACACGTGTATCTGCAACATCGGAAGTCAAACATGAAAAAACCCCGTATCGTCTGCGTCAACTGCTCTCGAGCACAGCCGTTGTCAGTGCATATGCAGTCGGTGGGGTTTCTCACCGACCCGACGCCACATGAAACCTTATGAGAACATCATTCATTCGCCCGTAACCCACGCACTCTGCACATGGAAGTAGTGCGCCTGGAATCACTGCCAGAAGAAACGGAGCGTCTTTGCGGGGCCGGTGGTCCCTATCTCTGTGCGACACAATCACGTGAAAGTCTTACATGCATATCAGTGATGCTGCCACTACGTTTTCGTATCCATGTTCCTCTCTTACTGCCATTGAATCTTTGAGGCTTAAAAAGGCAATTCAACTCATTTTAAGTTTATCAGCAAGCCAAACCACAAGTTCGTTAACAGTCAAGCATTTCCGCCATGGCCGCCACAAAAGCCATTCTCGTCACCGGCGCTACTGGCAAGCAAGGCGGTGCTGTGCTCGAACAACTCGCATCGCACCCCTCCAGCTCACAGTTTACGCTTTTGGCCGTCACCCGCGATGCCAACTCTGGCTCAGCAAAGAAGATTGTCGAGCGCCATCCCGACGTCAAGCTCGTACAAGGCAACCTCGACGACCCCAAAGCACTCTTCGCCTCTGCCAAAGCCGCTTTGAAGGAAGCCGGCAAAGAAGAAAAAGTCTGGGGCGTCTACTCAGTCCAAGTCTCGCTCGGCAAAAATGTCACTCACGAGAGCGAAGTCGTGCAAGGCAACGCCCTAATTGACGAGTCCATCGAACAAGGCGTCACGCACTTTGTCTACTCGAGCGTTGACCGCGGCGGCAACGAGCGCAGCTTCGAGAACAAGACGCCCATCCCGCATTTCCAGAGCAAGTACGAGATTGAGCAGCATCTTCTCGAGAAAGCGGGTAAGAAGGGAGAAAACATGGGCTGGACTATCCTGCGTCCCGTGGCCTTTATGGATAACCTTACCCCTGCGTTTCCCACAAAGGTTTTCCTTGCTGCGCTGCGCGATACCCTGCAGGGAAAGTCGCTTCAGTGGGTTTCGGTCGAGGACATCGGACTGTTTGGTGCGCGTGCGTTTGTTGATCATGAGGAGTGGAATGGACGTGCAGAGGGTCTTGCGGGCAGCGAGTTGACCATGGATGAGATGAGTGGGTGCTTTGAACGCGTCATCGGTAGCCCGCTCCCTGCAACATATGGTTTCTTTGGGTCAACGCTCATGTGGGCGGTGACGGAAGTGAATGTTATGATTAGCTGGTTTGCGGCTGAGGGCTATGGTGCTGACATTAGCAAGTTGAAGAAGGAGGAGCCCAAGTTGTGTGATTTTGAGACTTGGCTTGCGGAGAGGAGTGGATGGAAAGATCAGGCTATCAAGAGGTAGTTGTGTTGGAAGATTTTACGAATAAGTGAATTTGAATGTTTCGGCAGAACTTTGCCTTGATCAATCTCCGGGGATCATTTGCTTGCGTAGCAATGTTTGAGCTTTTTGAGTGGTGTATTGCCTTCTATGTTCATGAACCCACATGTTCATTCCAAGGTGTACACTGTAAAAGACATGCCTTCGAAATCCATTACTGATTGAGTAACTCGTAAAAGACTCCAAGTATATGACTACATGCTCTCAGCATGAAGATAAAACGTCACAAGACGCAAGATGACACCTCAGGCTCAAGACAACAATGGAACGCTTCATTCTTCTCATGCTAACATTCATAAAGTCCCGCAAAGGATCCATCCCATGGCTACCAACAAAGACCCAACCTTTTCTTCTCACAACCGCAGCAAACCCAACTCTCTACCCAACATTCTACAAAGAAAGCAAGTTCCACAGCGCCAAACCCCCCGCAACAACCGGCGTAACCAACCTCAGCCTATTCCAGCTCGCCCACTTAGTCGCAATCTCCTGCGCCTCGCCCAACTCCTTCTCACTGCTCCGTTCCGCCAGCGCCTCCAACTTGTCATTCAGCGGCTGCATATTAATAGCCGAGTGCAGAATCGTCGTCAGATGCATCAGCGCCGCAACACCGAAAAGCTTCCAGTCGCTGCGCGCAAGCACGCCTTCGCGGTACACAGAGTAGCCCGCATAGGCGTACCCGAGGAAGCCGAGGGTGGAAATGGGGCGGAAGAATTGGTTGCCTACTGTCCAGCAGAGCGGCCATTGGCGGCCGAGGAGGCGCGCGCGGTCTTTGTGGTCTGGTGAGCCTGGGGGAGGGAAGTTGACAAGGAGGGCGGGGACCGTCATGTAGGATTGTGTGATGGCATTTCCTACGACCTCGTGTTAGTATTATTTCTCCTTGGAGTTATTTTCGGCAAGCAAGAGCGATTTGGGAAACGTACCGGCGAGGATAAAAGAGAACGTAATGCAGGTGCCCGCCACGCTCTTGACATAGATGTTATCCGACATGATGAGAGTAAGTATCGATACTCTTGCTTTGTATATTCTACCAGGTTTTAGAGAGAGAGAGAGAGAGAGAGAGAGAGAGAAACACCAAGTTCTTCAATGACGGGTTTGGAAAGGCAGAAAGAGGAGGGAGAAATAAAGATCAAGTACATGCAAAAGTCGACGAAACTTCACCTCAATAAAACACACTTGCATCCAACAAACCCTTTCGGATCACGTTTCACAGCCTACTAGTAAACAAATAACAATCGAGACAAAACCCCTGCTGCATACCGTCCCGATGGGATTTCCCCCAAAGACAAAGCTCCGTGTTGGGGATTGTGCGGCGGGGCACAACGCACCACACACATACACACACACCCTTGTTGGTGTGTGTGTGTGTGTGTGTGTCTCCCGGCAAAGTGTAAGTTCGGTTCCCCACGTCCGTCGCGCCCCGCGCTAGCGAGGCGGGACTCGGGAGGTTGGTTGCCCTTGTTACATCATGACAGTCCTAAAGTGCGCGTACGATGCGAAACTCGGGGCGGTCTGGGTAATGCGAATCGCTTAGATGCGTGTTTGGAAGAGGAAAAGTGGTCATGTGCTGGCTGTCGTGGCATAAGTAAGGAAAGATTTGAAGCAGCTGATACTCTTTTGTTCCTTCTTTTTTTTTCTTGTCTTGTCTTGTCTTGTCTTTTGGCAGAAGCTTGTGACAGTTGTTTTTGTTGGAATTGTGAGTTACAGTGTACGGCATTAAGATGGTGGGGGGCTGTTTGGCCCGTCTGCACAATTATCGGATGATTGGTACTCCTCCGCGGCGTAGTGTTACAGCGACGTCAGGTGACCAACTCCATTGCTCTCGTCCCAAACGTTCTTCGACGATCAAAAGAGTATTCGTAAGCGATGCTCACAGGAACTAGCATCAAACTATAGAAGTAAATGAGAAACGGTAAGCAATATAAAAGTATCGCTATCGTACACAAGGCCGCGCTGAGTGAAATCTTAGTGAATTACACCTACATACTATCTCCCAGTCAATAACCATTTACTAACTTTCAGTCCTGAAAAAAATAATGAACCTACAGAGCCCGAATTAACCCAACTATACGCTAGCAAAGCTTCACATTACATTGGTCTCGACATAATGGACATCATATGAAAGATGAGAACTCCAAAAAAACCATCAAGTCATTCAAAATATCCAGAAATGAATTGGTGAAATGACTACAAAAACACAAAAAAAACCCTCTAAGCATTACCAAACTTCGCCACATCTCACATAACCAGCATCATCACTTGCCACGAAGATTCTTTTCGACCCAAAACAGGCAAATATATTCATAGACGTTGAAGTCTCTGTACATCTAGTACCCGTAGACCCTACTTGTTAAATCATGCCGTATCTACATATCTTCGTGTTCCCGTTTTCCCCGAAAACAAAAAAGAACAAAAACAAAAAACTCCATATGTCCATCTATGTCATGCAAATACTAATTCGACGCACCATTAGCCCCACCCTGCCTGACCATCCAGGTCAGTAAATCCACCTTGGTGACAACGGCAACAGCCCTGTGTTCGCCATCAACCTGCTCCGTAACAACCGCCGCGCTATTCCACTCGAAGAACTTGTTGAGGTCGGTAAGGGTAGTTTCCTTTGTGATCTCGACGAATTCTCTTCGTCCCTTCTTGCCGCCCTTTTGCGTGTTCTTGGCGTTGTCGCCGTCGAGGGAGAGACGGCCAAGGTCCTTGACGACTTCGTTCAACTTGCGGAAATCGAACATGACATCCTCGACGGGCGACTTTGGTGTGGCGCGGCCGGCGGCAATGTATGAGAGGAGGTTACCGAGAGTGACAAGACCAACTAATCGGGCCTTGCCGGATGAGGAGTACACGCTGACAGGCAATTGGTCGAAGCCCTTTTCGCGCATGGTTTCTATGGCTTCGCTGCAAGGTGAGTTTGCGGCGACCGTGGTGACGGGCTTGAGACGCAGAGAAGCGATGGTGGCGCCATGGAAGGGGTCGGATTTCTTGCTGGTGGAGAGGCGGCGGAGGTGTGCGTTTGAGTCAGGTGAGTGTGGAGGGGTGGGAGGGAGTAGATCGTTGGCGGCGAGCCAGTCGTCATCAACAAACTATTGCTTGTTAGTAAGGATATATTGTAGAGATTGCGAATTTCGACGTACCTTGCTGAGATAGCTGCGAATGCTGTCAGGTAGTATGACAACCACGACGT